CGGCCGGGTTCGGGTCCATCTTTCAAATAATTGACGGATTGAAGATAATTGAAGATTTATATACGAGGCAGTATTGTTTAGAGGCAGAATTTATACGGATTGCAAACAGATTTATTTGCAATTAATCTCAAGCCTGTTTGCCATAAACACAATATTGAATTTGCTGTGATATGAATTATATTAAAGTAACTATATTTTTTATTTAATATATCCCCATCATGCATGAGTATGTATATATATTTAATTTTCTTTAAATATAAAGCTTGAGACTGGTTTTGTGCTCCAGGGTCACATATATATATATATACACATATATATACATAAACATATACATAATATATATATACATATATATATTTAAAGTGAACTTGACAGTTTAAAAAATGTATATACATATATATAAATATATATTATATATTTTTTAATTATAATTTTTTTTAATTGCATTCTGTAACCTACTCGTTCTAGAGATCTTTGTTCAAGTTATGATACTGATTTGGATAGTGTTGACAGGGCTCAATGTTAAGAAAATTTTCTACGGTCCCAGTTGTTTATTTTAATACAAACTGTTGTTTTAATAATGAGGAGTAGTCTATATTGAGTTTGGTCTTTATCATCTTAGTCCGTTATGCCACATAAAGCATTTTTGCAGTATGGGAGGAAAACACTACATACACATAGATATATAGTACATTTTATTAATAAACTGTATATCAAATTTGGTCTTTTAATGTCACTGTCTTATGCATTAAGCCATATTAAGTGTTAATGGAAGACTTTGCGCATTGCGTTCATATTCTCAATTCCAAATTATGATTTGTGCGGCCCTTCATATTACTTTAAACGTCATAGAATCGAATTTGCATTTATAAAAGAAAAATGTTACAGGTGCATTTTTATGTTTTTGGCTAATACGAAACATAATCTGAACCAAACAGTCATTGTTGCCGAGTACACTCAATTCACAGGTTGATGCGCTTACAAAATGCATAGTTTAAAAAAAAAAAAACTGCAGAATTGTAGTTCGTATCACAATATTTTAGAGCATATTAATGTGCTTTAATGTCAAGCTAGCTTAAAGCCTTTCTTCAGACATTCTGAATACAACAATCATTAAATGAACCATGAAAAAAATTCTATAAATCTTCAAAACTCAACTTAAGATATTTTTAATGAAACCTGTGAGGTTTCTGTCCCTCCATTAAAAGTCCAATTAACCAAAAAAACAATCATATAAAGCGATCATATTAAACTGCAGAACTCGTATGGTTTCATTTTATTATACCTTTATAACCAATTTATATACCAATTTTTTGGTTTCTAAGTTTTGGGGACAGTACGTATACATGTATTCGGACTTTCACACAAATAGATTTACATTCCCACACACATGTATTCTTTATTCTTAAATACTTATATTCTAACTCATACATGTATTGTCACTGTCACATATTTCACAGTCATATGCATGCATGTCTCATTTTTTTTGCCATCCATTGCTTCCTTTTTAAGCAGGAAGTCACTATTAAAACAGGAAATACATATGCAAGACTTGCTCAGCTCATCCTAACACAACTATTCTATTATGCTATTCAAAGTCATCCTGTTTTCTTTTCCAAGTACAGTTTTTAATTATAATTTTTTTTAATTGCATTCTGTAACCTACTCGTTCTAGAGATCTTTGTTCAAGTTATGATACTGATTTGGATAGTGTTGACAGGGCTCAATGTTAAGAAAATTTTCTACGGTCCCAGTTGTTTATTTTAATACAAACTGTTGTTTTAATAATGAGGAGTAGTCTATATTGAGTTTGGTCTTTATCATCTTAGTCCGTTATGCCACATAAAGCATTTTTGCAGTATGGGAGGAAAACACTACATACACATAGATATATAGTACATTTTATTAATAAACTGTATATCAAATTTGGTCTTTTAATGTCACTGTCTTATGCATTAAGCCATATTAAGTGTTAATGGAAGACTTTGCGCATTGCGTTCATATTCTCAATTCCAAATTATGATTTGTGCGGCCCTTCATATTACTTTAAACGTCATAGAATCGAATTTGCATTTATAAAAGAAAAATGTTACAGGTGCATTTTTATGTTTTTGGCTAATACGAAACATAATCTGAACCAAACAGTCATTGTTGCCGAGTACACTCAATTCACAGGTTGATGCGCTTACAAAATGCATAGTTTAAAAAAACTGCAGAATTGTAGTTCGTATCACAATATTTTAGAGCATATTAATGTGCTTTAATGTCAAGCTAGCTTAAAGCCTTTCTTCAGACATTCTGAATACAACAATCATTAAATGAACCATGAAAAAAATTCTATAAATCTTCAAAACTCAACTTAAGATATTTTTAATGAAACCTGTGAGGTTTCTGTCCCTCCATTAAAAGTCCAATTAACCAAAAAAACAATCATATAAAGCGATCATATTAAACTGCAGAACTCCTATGGTTTCATTTTACTATACCTTTATAACCTTTTTTGGTTTCTAAGTTTTGGGGACAGTAATCTCTCATGTTTCATTAAAAATATCTCAACTTGTGTTTCAAAGATTATACAAAGTCTTATGGGTTGAGAAAGACATGCAGGTGAGTAAATGATGATAAAAATTCAGTAAATTGTGTTCTTTTTTCTGCTACTGATCCTGGTCTTTACTAAATAAACATAAGATTGACATTTAATCATTTTGTACGATAATATAACAATATAGAGCAATAAAAAGCTATATTTACCTGCATAAAAGGTTTTAAACGTAATCCCCAAATAAAAGATGCATTAAAGCAGCACTATGTAACTTTTTCTGTGTTCAAAATTTGCAAAATGTATATAATGAGCGAGTACATCATGAATTCATCTTCCAAATCGCGTTTTTGTCTTATTCCGAATCACTACGGTACTTATAATAATACTTATATTTGGACTATTGTAGCCTGGTCGGGTCATGTGTGCAGTTCTGTTTATTAACCGCTAGAGCGCCAAAAGTTACATAGTGCTGCTTTAAAAGCAATATTCATTGTATATTGTCAAAACCCTTTGGGGAGGATGGGTACTCCGAATCCAATAGAGTTCACAATGTGCCATTGAAGTTTGTCATTAACGGTGGTTTCAACGAGACAATTGTTACCATGGTAGCAGTCATGAAGAAATTCCATGGTAGCAGAGTTCCCAGGCCCAGAATGAAGAATATGATCCATACAGCATTATACCTGGAAGACATGTCACATTATTCACATTCAGTTTCATTATTGATCATTTGTTTCATATGAGAAAGTTGCGCTCAAACATTTACCTGTCTCGTGGAGCGTTGGCGGCTGTCATTGTGTCTGTCTGACGGATCTGTCACTGATTCAGAATCTGGCATCAAATCTGAAATCACATGGAGACAGCCTTAATTCAGTGATAATGAAGCACAACGCCACAGACAAATATAAACGCCCCAATAAACGCATTATAATGAAATGTTCAGCTTGAAAAGTATGCTTGTGCTGCGTTTCTGCTTTGATATACTAATGATATTTAGACATTTTTAAGAAGGACTAAATATCCAAATACTTACCATTTCGTTTAAAAAATATGATTCTGTTAATGGATATTCTGGCAGCACCAACACAAACATACTGTAATATCTAAATGAATGTCTAAATTTTCACTTCAGTGTCATTTTTCCATGTGCTTCCAATTAGCTTAAATCTCTAAAACAATATTTTGAATATATCATATATTCTGCTTAAAGGCACAGAGTTCAAAAAACAACAAAAAATTAATTTCCTGAGCTCAAGCGACATTGTCTGGATTTGAGAAAAATCTCCAACCCTCAAGGAACGAATCACAAAATCCTCTGCACTCAACAAAGGGCAAAATATAGATTAATCCTGCAATTCTTTGAGAATATAAATAAACGAAGAATGAGAAACTAATGAACTCCAGGACGGACCAACCTCAGTGTTTCTACTTGCTGTTTTCTACTTTAATTTTTTAATGTGTTTGTATGGCACTTTTTACAGTTTAAGTCTTGGAAATGGATTCTGTTGCTCTTAAATGACGTGCTTCAGCAACTTGTTTCAGATAAACTAAGACGATAGATAATGAGAGAGTGTGATGTCGGTTTCTACCATCTCCATAGACCATAATAAAGCTTTCTGTATGTACTACTCTGCTTAAATTATGTTGTTTTTGGTGCATAAACAAAGATGGATGCCTTATTGATGACAACCTTGAAGACATGCTTGAAACTGATGCATCATCCTCCTCCAAAAAGCATACTTTCAGCAGTCACATAAACAAACTTCCTGATCTTTCTGTACACACAGTGCACACTGAAGTACTTTTTATTCAAACAGCTGTCATGATCTACAAAACAGACCTCTTAGTGAAGAGATTTATTGGCTGACAGGAGGTCAAAACATGGGACGCCATGTAATCAACCATTTTTTATGCTGTTTTATTGCATGTTAAAACATTCTTCATGGAGAGAATATTCATTTGAAAGAAACGTCAAAGTTGCATTTCATAGTGTTGTATCATTTCTTAAAAATGATGACAAATAATGAAAAATAGGTTTTCTCCACAACTACCAGAATTGTGTTCAATAATCAGTATTTTTCAAAGAAACGTGCTTTCTTTTCTCTGCTCTTCTCCTCTGGAAATGTAATGATTTCGCGGCATTAGAAAATAGAAAAATTTCTCTATAAAATTTCTCTCTCTCCATTTCAAATAGTGTAACAGCTCCACCTTTCCAATGCATCATCATGACTGAATCAGCCTGTCTGAACAAGACCTTTGAATCAACCAATTTACACAATTGATGTGATTTGACCAAATTGTGTTACAACCATCGGAAATCTCAGTCACGCTGAGAGAATCTGACTGGAGTTGGATTGACCTAACTCTTGTGATCGCTTGTCCAAAAACTCAAAAACCAAAAACATCTCTTACCAACACAGGCACTTTATGCTTTCATAAGACAACGATATTAATCTGATCACCACTTAAACCAAGTCAAGATGTCCTCTATAATGCATTCAGCTGCAGAAACTCTATATTTCACTTCAAAGTTAAACGGCAGATCATTAATTTAGTGGAAGCAATAAATGCTGTGGGTTAGCTGATAATGACTGAAAGCTAATGAAGCATTTCCACCTTGACCGGACTTCTCTGCCCTAGGGTCGGCAGGCATGAGAGCTTGTGTGGAACTCCAGGAATGGCCGGCTATATCAACAAAACCTGATGTGATCACACTGGTCTCAGAACTACATTTATATAAAATGGGTTTATGATTTCATAAAGGCACAACCAAATGTTTGAACAACATCTGATGAAGTGCACTAAACACACAAAAAATGCCATTAATGCAAGTATGCAAAATTAAAAATTACCGTGTATATTATTAAGATTCAAAAGTTTGGTGTCTGTATGATTTTTTTAATGTCTCTGATAGGAATCTCTATGAAAAACATTTTTTTAAAAGTTGCCTTTATTCTACAAAAATATAGTATAAACAGCATTATTATGAAATACTATTACAATTTAAAATGTTTTCTACTGTATTATAAATTCAAATGTAATGTATTCCTGTGATGCAAAGCTGAATTTTCAGTATGATAACTCCAGTCTTGAGTTTCACATGATCCTTCAGAAATTTATTATTATGCAAACAGTTGTGAATGTGGTGCTTAATATTTTTGCGGAAACCGTCATACATTTTTCAGGATTTTTTAATGAACAAAGTTCAAAAGAGCAGCATTTATTGAAATAGAAATCTTTTATAACAATGTCTTTATCGACGCTTTTGGTCAGTTTGATGCATCATTGCTGACAAAGTATTAAATTATTTAAAGAAAAAAGTTGAATGTTAGTACAGCATATATTATATGAATATTTTGAAGGAGTATATGCATTTATATATACTTTTTATATTTTATAAATACATTTATAAATTATTTAAATGTCTTTATAGTTAGTCATAATAATATCCAAATTGTTTCATTCTTATTCATATACACAATAATGTTTAAAAGACATCCGTCTTTATTCATTAAAAGCCTTATATCTGCGAACAACCAGTCCCATTACACTTTTCCAAACCCCTGCAAATAACATCGCTGATTTACAGTGTACAATCACTTCCAGATCAGCTCATGCGCCAAATCTGAAAGAGGTCATCTAAACCTTCCATTTCTACACGAGCCAATGCGCACACTGTCACAGCCGCACTCCACAAATTAATCCCAGCAGCCTGCAATCACTCAGTCACCCGCTTTGGTACACCTCCCACGTCCTGAAAAACACCTCTGGCCAGTTTCCCGGACCGTCCTCTGACACGGCTTCCTGGGACTGTGCTTCTAAAAGCTCCCTCAGGGGCTCCATGTTTCACAACAAAGCTGCAGGCTCCTGAAATAGTCTGTCTGTTGGGGTGTTGAGCCTTGATCGGACCTGGCGAGAGGGTCTGTAACCTGAGAATATCAGCAGTGCATCCAAGAACAAGCTCAGGACAGATTTCAGTTCAAGAGGCCCTGCGAACCAATTCTAGCAGTCCATCCACAGCACAAGAACAAGGAGACGGGTGGGAATTATATTAAGAAATAAATCATTCAGGTGCAGATTCACTTATCAACAACTAGACTTTATCGTTATTATCGCAGGAAGACTAATTCTTATCGTGGGGAGAATTTTTACTGGTATATCGCAAACAATAAGATATCGCCCATCCCTACTAGATATCGTATCTCCTTTATAGGTATATCTCAGCCCTATTAAGAACCTTTTGTGCAATGCAAAGGATGTTAAAGTTTCTTCATGCAACCACTGATCGAGTAAAGAACCTTTATGTAAAGAACCACACCTGTGCCAAACAATACCCAATTTCTATAACAAATATGGGTTTAGTGTGGTCACAGAAGAACAGCAGGTCATGATTACATTTATTTTCCGTGACTCATTCTTAAAGTGCTATGAGGCAACTGGGCGGCAGGCCTGTTTTCTCTACTCTGGATATCATTTGAGAGTAAGAAACTCACAATTGGCTGGAGCGTGACGCCATTTAATTTGCCCTCTATTCTTATCCTCAAGGAAACATTTATGAAAGCATGAGTTTGACTTTCTGCCATGTTACCAAATGCAAAAACTGGATTGAAATAAACAGTGCAATATGTCAGCTTATTTATGCCGCATGTTTCCTGTAAAATCAGAACTCTATAAAACCACTCCAACCTCTTGAAATCCCCAACCCTAGTTTTGCTTTAAACTACTTCAAATAACACTGACACCACCTTTTAATGCCTTAATATGACACACATATGAGTTCAATGTGAAAAAATGAGGATAGGGCGTTGGGTTGTGAAAACTAGGTGTTAGATACCAGAATGTATAGCCAGTTGATTGGAGGCAAAGGGTTGCAAGTTGCCTTTGTGATGTCAGAAGAAAAGGAAAGTTATTTCTGAGTTAATGCATTCTGATAAACGATTTTATTAAAACAATTTGTCATCATTTTGATTTTGTTGACTTCTGAAAATAGAGGTACTAGTTCTGTATCTACAGACTGTATTTGCAGAATAATATGCAGGTTTTGTGCTGAGGCACAAAGACTTTGCCAGTGCAGCTACGGATCTCAGCAGTCACTAGGCTATTCTTAAACAGAGACAAGAAAATGGGCACATGGCAAACCACGCGATTCTGACGTCATCCTGTACTACTTCACGTAAAATACTCTGCGCCAAAAAAAAACCCGCGCGCGTTTGATAAAACTGACTGGGTCAAGCATAAGCTACATAGTAAACATAACAGCATCAGTTCACTTGCCTCTATGTCAATTCCAAGTCACCAACCAATGTACATTTCACTGAACTTATTCATAGCTACCACACAACCCCAAAGTTATTAAAATAAAAGCATACAACGTGTTAAGTTGTGAATGACTCACGGCGCGTGCCAATATACATCACGTCCCCTACACGTGGTGAGCAACAATCAATAAAATAATACTCCGTTTGACACATTCTCAAACCTAGTCAACACATGTTTACAAATACTAAAGAGAACTTGGTTATAATAACTATCGCCGGATGTTTCGCTAAGAATGTTTCTAAAAGTCGCGAATAATTTGGCGCTAAATTTGCACGCTACATATCAAACAACACAGCGCGGCACTTAAATCCACGTGTTTGAAAATACTGGACGCATTGGTACCAAAAAAAAACACTCCTTGTTCAGCTTTTGACCATCGAAGTTTGAAAATAGCGGTTTCACACGAAAATGATCACAACAGTAACTCACGCGATAAAAGTGAACGTCAGAAAAGTACTGTAGTAAACCCGAGCCCTACCTTCACGTGCGGAGAGTAGAAGACTCTGAGGGGGCTTAACACAAGACGCCAGCTGTGAGGACTGAGGAGGGACTCTCCCATCCACACACTGATGATGATGATGATGATAGCCAGGGCTTGACTAAAGTAGGCTGCAACTTATACTAGATCTTGATCTTTACCTTTTCAGTAATAACAACAACAATACTGCTGCATTAGGCCTAGCCTATATATCATGTTTAGGTCGGGCTAAAAACGTTTCTGTTTCATATATAACGTTACAGTACAAATTAAAAGTTTGGACACACTTTACAGAGTGTTTAAGTGCTTCAAATTAGTTTTCTTGAGAAATGTAACTTGTGGCAACTAATGGATTTCTTCAGACACATTTTCTATTATCTTCACATTTATTCATTCATAAAGAAAGAAAGAAAGAAATGGATTGGAATGTTTCACAGTTGATAGAAACTCTAAACATGGAATAAATCCATGAAGTAGATTGAGAGAATGTCCTAAAATGTACACAAAAAAAGCACAAATGCATTTGCATTTGTTATTTCATAGTTTTGTTGTCTTTATTGTTTCTTCTAAATGGAAAATAGTCATAATAAAAATCATTATGTGTCTAAACTGCCCTTTTTAATACAAAGGGCTAAAAATTGTGGGCCAAAAAGTAAATGTTGCATTATATCTAGGCTAACTATATTATATTAAAATGTATTAAATTAAAAATAAATACATAAACAACAAATTAAATAATTATTTGACATTGTAGTTTTTTTTTTTTTATCAAATCCACTTATATTGTTTTTTTTGTTTTTTCATTTGAATGCAGAAATACAACAAAAATGGCTGCTTCTTTTTTTTTCTGTGATATGGCATGGTGGGCCAAATCCAAAGTCATCACGGACCAACTTTGGCCCTAGTTTGTGCATATCTGCTGTTCGGTCATGAATGAGGTGCTACAATCCGTCATGGCCAAATATAACATCCCCTAAAGCATGTGACAGCAAACTTTGCACTTTGCCTTGCCTGTTGACAATGACAGACATCTGTTGTTCTGTTAGTAGTGAGGAGATGCACACCGTCCATGTGACATTTCACACCCAGAGGAATGACAGTCTGCTGTCAAACTCACATGAGCTGAAAACTCCCATCAGAACACAGCTGCACTTTCTGAGGTTCATGAAGAGTAATGACAACTGTATGTCTTTATCGCATTTTCAAGGACATGTGATGTCTACAGAGTTTGTTTAAAGGGGTCATATGACGTTGCTAAAAAGAACCCCCTTACCATATTGTGATGATGCCCTGTCCGGCCGGAGCGATGATTCAAAAACATGAAAACCCATTATAAACGAGGCATTTGTTGCATCCAGTGGGGACATAATTATGGATTTTTACGCGTTGCATCGCGCCGCGTAAACATAAAACCATGTCTGCATTTGTGATCGGAGAAATGACAAACAACAAGCGCTACTCTACACTGCTCAAACCTCGCGTTTGAATCGTCAGTGGCAAATCCTTTAAAGCGCAGGCATTTAATCACTATCATGTGCAGTCTGAGGTCTGAAGTCTGAGGTCTACTAAATTTAGATTAATTATTTCTGCTGTTGTTTATCTCTGCATGGTGGCACTAAAAATATTCAGGTTTTCCAAGCATTATCATGTATTCTTTTGTAAGTCCTAAAAGTGAATGAAGCAAAATAAGAGATATCTCCCTGGAAGTATTTCATAGGCATACATTTTCTGCCACGGAAAAAAAAGATGACTGCGACTTTTTATCTCACGGTTTAGATCACGGTCCCAATTCTGAGTTCACATATCACAATTTTGTTTTTGTTTTGTTTTTTTAATTGTGACTTTTATCTTGCAATTCAGATTTTTCAGAATTCTGAGGAAAAATCAGAATTGTGTTGACGCCGATGGCCTCGTGGTCAGCGTGCCGACGTACAGCGTCATTGCGCTTCGGGTGTCACGAGTTTGAGTCCCGGCTTGCGGACCTTTCCCGATCCCATCCCCCTTTCTCTCACCCACTTCACTTCCTGTCGACTTATACTGTCCTATCAAATAAATTAAATCAAAGTTGACTTCTTTTACACTTAATTATCTTATTTTACATGATTCCTCAGTGGATTGTAAAGAAAAAGTGTTTGTCTTCATAATCATTGAACCTCTAAATGACTTAACGTTAATCAAATAGCGATTTAGGCATCATTTTAATAAAAACACTTTCAGGTCTAGCTCCATTCAGCAACTTTATGATACACTCAATTCTCATGTGCATGAATATCCTGGTTCCCACAGACATACGTGACATCAGAGGAATGAAATGGCTTAGAAATGTCATTTCTTGTTTTTAGATCTACTGTGTGATTTGTAATTAAAATAGTTTAACAAATAAGTCCAGTAAACAAGATGATGTTCATTTTCGAAGTACTTTGAATGTATTGTGTCTTGTTATGACTTGTTTACGTCTGTAGGTTGGGTTCTGTGTCAGATGAATTTGTATGTTTAAAATAGAACTGGCAACCGTGTTGTATTCTTATGGGCTGCCGCTTGACTATAACCGTGTGGTTAGACTCTGTTTGCACTTACAGTCCGACCGCTTCCACCTACACCCTGTCTAGTCTAAAAGCAGTCGTGGTTGGAGTGAGACAGTCTCTCCATGGACGTGAAGTTTAACAAGTAAACATCCAAAAAAAGTGGGAGGGGACAAAAACTTCTTAGGTAATGTAACTTAGAATAACAACCATTATCGGCTTCAAAATGAGTGCTACAACCTGGTAGCATTTAGACTGACGTCCAAGAGCCTTCACCGCAACACTGCCTCCATTCAAACATAAGTCCTAACCATCCAGAAAGTGAAGGGTGCATGAAGTGTCAACACTGTGCTGTTGATCTGGGTCATAAGCTCTGTTTGCTTCAGGAAGAGTGTTCCGGAAATTCAAGTCACTTTGGATGAAATCAATCTGTTAAAAAACAAGTATTTGATATGAAAGAAAATAGGATGTTTTTAAGAGTAAATGTCAGTCATCATCTTTAGGAAATTGCTGACATTCTTTTTCCAAGGTCAGTTGATCTGGAAAGAGAAACGCTGGGAATAAGAAAACTGAATTCACTCGGTAAAATGTTGCAGATATTTAAAATCCCTTTTGAAAAGTGAAACTCCACTTGAAGAGTTCCAATGCAAAAGCCTCTAAAAGCCATCTTGGTCAAAAATGAGATAACGATATTGAGTGAATGCTCTTCACACATAGAATATGTTCAGCAAGTACTTTCACTTCAAAAGCGCTAAATCCCAGCCTCAACCCATTCAGAAGTACCAGTACTTACATGAAAGAGAAAGTGAAAGTGACGTGACATGTGGCCAAGTATGGTGACCCGCTTCACCGCAACACTGCCTCCATTCAAACATAAGTCCTAACCATCCAGAAAGTGAAGGGTGCATGAAGTGTCAACACTGTGCTGTTGATCTGGGTCATAAGCTCTGTTTGCTTCAGGAAGAGTGTTCCGGAAATTCAAGTCACTTTGGATGAAATCAATCTGTTAAAAAACAAGTATTTGATATGAAAGAAAATAGGATGTTTTTAAGAGTAAATGTCAGTCATCATCTTTAGGAAATTGCTGACATTATTTTTCTAAGGTCAGTTGATCTGGAAAGAGAAACGCTGGGAATAAGAAAACTGAATTCACTCGGTAAAATGTTGCCGATATTTAAAATCCCTTTTGAAAAGTGAAACTCCACTTGAAGAGTTCCAATGCAAAAGCCTCTAAAAGCCATCTTACATAGTACATAGTGCCTACATAGTAGCCAGAAAGAAATGGTCATTTTAAAGAAAAACGGCTTTTGCATCTGAACTCTTCATTTGTACAAGGGTGAGTAAATAATACCATATTTCGGGTGAACTACTCCTTAAAAAATGTATAGATAGATAGATATATTATACACACATACTGTATATCCTGTGTCATGAAGCTTTGTTTGGGAGACATAAATGAATATAGAGCACTTATGTGCCCAAAGGCACATTAAATCTGTGTGCAGTATGTCATGTACCTGGCAGGACAGAGGAACAGGAGCTGAGCACATGGCAGTGCAACAATCTCTGTAGCATGTGAAATGAAATCAGAGCTGCTCAGTCACCGCTCAACTTCTGTCAGCTCAGAGGACTCGGCTTTGGATTTGGATCTGGTTTTCGAACCCGCAACCTTTGGGTTACGAGTCCGACTCTCTAACCATTAGGCCACGACTTCCCCCAGGAAGTATGTACATAGAAACCTACATAGTAGCCAGAAAGAAATGGTCATTTTAAAGAAAAACGGCTTTTGCATCTGAACTCTTCATTTGTACAAGGGTGAGTAAATAATACCATATTTCGGGTGAACTACTCCTTAAAAAATGTATAGATAGATAGATATATTATACACACATACTGTATATCCTGTGTCATGAAGCTTTGTTTGGGAGACATAAATGAATATAGAGCACTTATGTGCCCAAAGGCACATTAAATCTGTGTGCAGTATGTCATGTACCTGGCAGGACAGAGGAACAGGAGCTGAGCACATGGCAGTGCAACAATCTCTGTAGCATGTGAAATGAAATCAGAGCTGCTCAGTCACCGCTCAACTTCTGTCAGCTCAGAGGACTCGGCTTTGGATTTGGATCTGGTTTTAATAGGTAAATTATTCAGGCATTAGATATAATATATATATATTAGACTTCTATAAATATGTTTTAATAAATAGCAACGCCCCCACCACAACCACAAAGCCTATTACATTTTCTTGAGAAAATGTAAAAAAGCATTCATATTGTGGCACTGGTGTTTACCCAGCATGCTTTGCGGCTGGAGTCATATCAAAAGGAGTTTAAACTGATAACTTGCTAGGAATATAAAGGTGTATAAAATGGGTTTAGGGGTGTGCTCGTGGTTGACTGTAGCTGCAGTTTATGCTCTTGCATGTTAAGACATTCACTTTTTGAGTCAGGTGAATTTTTTAAATGTCATTAACTGAACTGCAGTGCTCAAACTATTTAAAATATAGTGAATTAAGCTACAAACTCGATCATAATGCACAATGTTTCCATACAACATGTATTTTGAGCTGCAGCTCGTCATATTAATGGAGTAT